ACATAAGCATGCGTGCGCGTGTGTGCGTGTGTGTGTGTGTGTGTGTGTATGTTTGTTTGTGTGCGGGGGGGGGGGGGGGGTACGTGTACGTGTGAAGAGCAAAAACCAGTACTGATAAATTGATAATGCAGGCCAAGCAGAGAGGAACGCAAAGCAGACAATCACCTCTACATTGTAATCTTCTACAAATAACACATACATGTACATGTAGCTTCATAAGCAGAAAACGAGATATTGTGAGCGCGACAGACTCACACACACACACACACACACACGCGCGCGCGCGCGCGCGCACACACGCACCCCCCCCCCCCCCCCCACAGACTAGGGTCCGGCGGATTCTGCCGGCAGAAAATTGGCAGAATTCGGTACTTTTTCTGGTAAGTTTCATGCATGTTTGGTATGTGGATAAAGAAATGGAGCACAATTCGAGGAATTGCCCGCCATAAGGTTTGTATGGTTCTGCCAATTTCACTGCTTTTCGAGCAGAATCTGCCACCTTTTCGAGCAGAATCCACCGGTTCCTACCACAGACACACACCACGAGACCATAAATGTGAAACGGCATGCATTTTGACACACACGCACACATGCACACACGCACACACACACACACACACACACACACACAGTCACACACACAACACACACACACACACACACACCACGAGACCATACATCTGAAACGGCATGCGTTTCGACAGGCTTTAGAAGGCCACGAGTTAGGTGATCCACATCAAGGCAATACGCACCACCAGCCCAGCTACATGTACCGATATCTCATACTAGACAGCAACTGAACGCGGCACACATACTACACACAAGAGCGCGTACAGCGGCAACTTTCTCCTTATGCTTACGGTTGTCGAATACAGCATTGACGACACACCGAGACACACAGAGGAACACAAACTAGGGTCTACAATGTACATGTATACACAGCTATGCGTTTGCGTGTTTTCATGCTCCCTTCAAAGGTTTATGTATACGGCATGTATGATTTATGTTGCTTGAGTACGCCCACTTTGAAGGTCGAAGTTGGATTATACAGGGCGTGAACAGGTGAGATTTTTATGTCTAGCTGTTAATTACCCTTACCTTAGCCCACCAAGGAAATCGGAATAATCAAACTCGATGGTGCTCCAACTTCATTTCGACGTAGAAAATTCGCTGTTTGAACATCTCAATTTCAAAGGGTAACCACTGATTTCGATGTGAAAAACGTTTCCTGATCGCCATAAAAAAATTCCTGCCGACACACACCGTCACAAGCTCCAAGTTCACAAACAGTGGCCACAAACGGTTACTCGTCATGAAGGTGGTTCGACACTTTCGACCAAATTCGTTCACTTCCGTATTCAGTTGACAATTATTTTTTGCCGTCATCAAGACTTATTTGGGCCCAAAAGCGCAAAAATCAGTGTAAGTCTCGATTAGTGGCAGAGATATGTTTTTTGCACGCTTGAGGATGGAGTGTGAGATGGATAGACCTTTTCACGGAATTAGTTCTTCAACAAATACTCAAGATTGATTCAGCAGATCATCTTTTTTTGCGAAAGAAAAAAAAACAGGCGCGAGGCACCCATCAAAAATCACGATTAGCGGCGTGTCACCTCCCTGTATTTTACTACTCCCTGGTTACAACAAAATTAATGCATACTGTAGAAACAAGGCCGTCACAGCCGGGGCGGCTGAGGCCGCCCCACTTTTCCGGCGTTTTTTTTTTTTTTTTTTTTTTTGGAGCACATTCCAACAAAGCCGCTTAGCGCAAACGTGACAAATCCTTGTCCCCGATCGTGGTTTGTTGCAGAAAAAAGTCTCTCATTGCAGTTACACTGAAATGGCACCAAATGCCAGCCTGGAAATGCTTGCAATTGGCTTCAATTTTTGAATTTTTTTCCCGGGGGAGGGTAATGTTTGTCCCCGATCGTAGCGTCTTCTTCGTTTGTTGCAGAATCAAAAAGACTTTCATTGTAGTTACCGTACACTGAAATGGCACCAAATACCCGGAAATGCTTGCAATTGGCTTCAATTTTTGAAATTTTTCCGGGGGACGACCCCCGGACCCCCCTTCCATGGCCGCCCCACCTCCAAAGTCGGTGCGACGGGCCTGAGAAATCAGCCATACCATTATTTACTATGTTATAGAAACTCTGGAAGGAATGAAACCAGCGGGTTCGAAGTAAAGACTGGAGACTTGGTTGTGCAGTTGTTGTGTGATTGCTTTACATTATACTTCAAAGTACTGAAGAAGACGTTCCATTTGTATGCTGATGCCGACCCAAACCTCCATATTGATGTCAGCCCTAAAGAAGTTTAGCAGGTGAGAATGACATCGGACAGTTTTGATCACAGTTCGAAGCAATGGCAAATGGTCTCGACAAAATGCGCGCAGGTGACAAAAGCAAGTACATCATTCAATGTCAGTATAATTATGGATTCAGCATTTTTAAAAAGATCTGTGGAGAAGAAATAAAGGGTCAAGAGTACAAATTCATGTGCGTGGTCGAGTGTCCATACAAACTAGATTTATGGTGCATCAGTATACATCAAAGGTAGAGATATGCATGTGCAATAGCTACAAGCAGGCATACCAAAACTGGAGAAAACTCACTTTGCATTATATAAAAAAAAGTAAAATATCGTGTCCGTTCCCGAAGGGAACTCACGACGGCCGCTAACACCCGATTAACCACAGCGGCAGATGCAGCGCCTAACGGTGGGGGTGAGTGGATAAGTCTCACAACCACTGGCACAAGTGCCGAAAACGACCCCATTAGCATTAGCATTAGCATTGCATTATAACTCATCATTAAATTTTCCAGTCCCAGCAATGGCTGGAGCAGCAGAAAATCAGTGCTTTTGCAGAGGCAGATTGTGCAGTTTTCATTTATGACAAGACCACTGTCAATCCTCACGCCATATGACCTGGAGGGTTCAGTTTCATGTACACTTGGTCGTCGAGGGGAGCCTGCAAGCTTTGGTAGAATTCACCACCTGGTGGATCGCGAAAGAGTAGCTGTACGGGCACAACACCAAGGCTTTCTCTATCCGATTTGCCTGAGTTCAACTGTGTTTCATCACTGGCACTCCTGTTAGCATAGATGACTAAATTACTTGCTGGAGGAAGCTGTGAACTGGCAGTATGCTGTGATGGGCTCTGTATGCCTTGATCAGCTGGATGTGCAGCACTGGCGCCTTCATTGAGTACACCAGCCTTGTCAACTGAGCAGCTGGTCATGAGCACTGATGCAGTGTTGGCGTATTCGACGTTGGAGACAACCTCAATGGCTGGCTTGGTGCCAGTACTACCACTGGCAACTGTGTGTCCACCATCTGTGAACTCATCAGTAGAACAATAATAGGCTTCGTTTTCACCAGAAGGTGCCAGCTGTGTCTCACTATGTGTGGTTGCCCAACCAGTCATCGCAACGTATGCATCGTCACCATCTGGGGTCCCTGTAGATGTTTCTCCTACTCCTGCATACTCAGAAGGTGGTAGACACGTCATTGTTTGCAAGGCTGTGTAGGTGTCCCCTGTTTGTGTGCCCATGGGTGCGCAGTCATCCTGAGTTAGATGATTACAGGGACCTTAAAGATAGTTGAACATTGGTGGCAAAATAACACACACACACACACACACACACACATACACACACACATACACACGCACACGCACACACACACACACACACACACACACACACACACACACACACACACACACACACACACACAGAATAGTCAAAGAGGCCACAAGGAGACAGACATTTAAAAGATAATAATAGAACAGGAACAGATCATTTGTTGCAGTTTGTTTCTATTTCACTTCACCAGATACACAGGCATTCCTGCCGTCTAGACTCTCGGTAAAGGAAAATAAAGCATATTCTGCGAGGAAAATGATGTGAACATGAATTGATGATAGTTACTATTATGAGTGATGAAGATTCGATTGAATGGAGGGAGATGGATGCCGGCGGCGACCGCATCATCTAAGGCATTGGCCAAGCCAACAGCAGTGGGTAAGTCAACTAGCCATGACTGTGATATCGAACGAAGGCATTGGCCAAGCCAACAGCTGTGACTAAGCCAACTAGCCATGTGATATCGAGGGAAGGCATTGGCCAAGCCAACAGCTGTGGCTGAGTTGACTAGCCATGTGCATGATATTAAACTTGTCCATCGCATAAGCCGATTGCCATGATGTTAGTTCGGGTAAGTGAGCCGTCCATAATTAATTTATCATTTTGTTCGTGCATCCTGAATGTTGTGCTGTGTATCCGGATGGTTGTTGTTCCTTTTTCACGTGTACACAGTTCTAAGCTGTTGAATAGTTTAGAAGCTGTTTACAAATAGCGGAGTCCTCCGGATCGATAGAGTGCTCAATGCGGAAGCAGAGCAGTAACACATGTTACCTTCAAAACACTAAGGCAACTGCTAATTCGTTTATTATGTATTATCATGGAAAAAGACCAAAACATGCCAAGCTGAACCAAAACTAATCTCTCACAGGAGACTCCAACAAACAACTAAAAAAGGGCAAAACACAATGAAGGAAGAACAACGAGAAGCGTAACACGCATGCGTACTAGTACTTCATGCATAGTACAATCATGAAACATCACGCGATGACTGCGTTCCCACGCCGGGGTAGCTGACCATGCAATCAATCATAGTAGACAGAGAACATGCACAAAGAACTACAACAATACATCAGACAATCATGTATAGCGAGTGCACTGATGCGCATATAAATCTAACATTCCTCCCTCTCGAACGAATATGCTATCATGCAATATGAGTGAGGCCCAAACAACAGTATAGCAAACAAAAAAGAACATAGGAAAGATGATCGAGAAGCATTGTAAGTTATGCGACACCATTACTGTTACATTGGCTGCTATTGTCATGAGTGATTCTATCTGTGACACTCCGTCTTACTTATTCACCAGTGGCACCTTCGACTTCAAGTGGAACTAGTCGATGGACTGGCCGTTTTAAGACCTTGCCCTGGATGTTGACCCCCACCACACGGACAACGTCATCCTTACATGGGTAGGTTGCCGTAATTCTAGCGAGTGGCCAATGTGCTTGTGGGACATTGTCGTCCATGACCATGACGATGTCACCAACTTCCACGTTCCGCTGCTGCTGAAAAACCACTTCACTTGCACATTGAGCTTCGGCACGATCTCCTTCACCCATCGTGCCCAGACCTCCACAACGATGCGTGGCACGTACATCCAGCGGCGACGAGGATGGACCGTGTCTGCTGGCTGGACACCCAACTCTGCGGCCAGTGTGGTGTCTGCGTGGCCCACGAGGAAGTGCTGCGGCGTCAGGGGCCGAAGATCATTCGGATCAGAGGAGATGACGGTTAGTGGTCGACTGTTGATGAGACCCTCCGCGTGTACCAGCGCCGTATGCAGCTCCTCATCCGAGAGGTCTGTCTCTGGGATGGACTTAAGCACAGCCGGTGAATTGCTGAGCCACTTCCGTAGGTGGAATCCACCGCGCGTGGTGATTTCCTGGAGATCCTCTCGGGCAACTATAGCTGATGCTTCAGTGGCTGTCGACATCAACAGGTCGTCAACGTAGAAGTTGTCTCGAACGGCGTTGAGCGCCTCGGGACCGGCAGTATCTGCAAAGGTCTCCGCCGTTGCTTGTAGCGCTCGGCCTGCCAAGTACGGTGACGCTCTCATGCCGAAGACAACGCGGCAGAACTCGAAGAATACGAGTGGGTGGTGAGGAGACTCACTCCAGACGAACCGGTGGTACTTCCGGTCATTGTCACGGAGCTCAACTTGGAGAAACATCTCCGAGATGTCGGCAGTGAGGGCGATAGGGTGATGGCAGAAGCGCAGCAGGACCTTGACCAGGTCACTCTGCAGCTTTTGTCCAGCGTGCATGCGGTTGTTGATGCTGTCACCCATGACCTTCGCAGAACCGTCGAATACGATTCGGACCTTTGTCGTTGACTTGTCGTTGCGGATGACGGGGAAATGCGGGAGAAACCATTGGTCGGTTCCGGCATCTTCCACCTCTGTGGGCAGGACTGATCGAATATACCCACGCTCCAGGTACTTCTTGAGCACCTCAGCGTACTGCAGACGAACCTCGGGTTTCCGCTCAAGGATGCGATGTAGGGACTTGAGCCGTTGCTCAGCGCACTGCCGCGAGTCTTGACGTAACTCCGGCTGATCTGCACCACTCCGCCACGGGATCCCGACGACGAATCTGGTGCCATTGTGGTGAATGCTCCGCTTCGTCATGTCGTCTGCTGCATGCTCGTCAGGGGTTAGGTAGTCGGAGCTGGTGGTCTCCATGCCGACACTCTCCAATTGCCAGAACTTGCTGACAACTTCTGTGAGCGGATCATCAGAGGTTGCCACTAGCGAACGGTCGTCAAACTTGCCGGCGGTGTGGGCAGACACAGAACCAAACACCACCCAGCCAAGGAGTGTCTTCCTTGCAATGGGACCTCCCTCGTTGGCAAACCTCTCTTCCAGAGACGTGTGGAGCCAGGGCGCATTGAGGCCGACCAGCAGGCCTACGGGAGCTGCTTCGGGCACTTTGGGGAGTGGCACGTCAGTGAGGTGCGGCCAACATCCTTGTTGCTCTGTCCAGTTGATGGTAGTGATGGGGTTCATGATCTTCGGCAAGACCCAAGCCGAGAACTCACTGGTTCCTGATCCATCAGAATGACACAGCTCAACCGTTGCGTACTGGTTGATAGGGCACAGCTTCTCGCCGCCGAGGACAGACGTCTCGAGGGATCCGAACTTCACAGGCAGCGCCAGACGTTCAACGAGGTCTGCGCTGATGAAGCTGCACGACGATCCGCTGTCGAGGAACACCGTTGCCTGGGATGGCCCGTTTGGCCCATTGACGGTGGCTGCCACTGTCATGAATGCAGTGGTCTGGTCACGTGACGAAGAACTCGTGGCGGTCACGCTGCAGGCACTCTGCGCCTTCTCAACTCTGCCTTGGGCTGTGTTGGCACATGGTGCTCTTTTTGCAGACTGCACTGGTTGCTTGGCGATTGACTTCTGGTAGTGGAGAAGCTCATGGTGCGGCTTGTTACAGAACCGGCACCTCGGTTGTCGGCAGTCTTTGCCTTTGTGGCCAGGCTTGAAACAGCAGATGCAAATGGTCAACGGCTTCACAAACTCCCACCGTTCGTGCAGGGAGAGCTGCTTGAATTGTGGGCAAGATGCCAGCTGATGCCCTCCGCGGCAGGACACGCAGCTGACGGTCGCCGACTCGGTGGCAACAAGTGTGCGCTCAGTACGCTTGTGGAATGGCTTTCCTGGGCCTTGTTGGCGCTTCTCGGTGCACCACTGGGGAGGCTCGGGATTGGCAGCACGCTCTTCTACCTGCTTGAGGCACATGACACGCTTTAACAGGAAGTCTGCGAACCCATGAATGTCGCATAGCGAGTCATCGTGTCGCTCCAAAAAGTGGATCAGGACAGGCTTTGGCACCTTCTGGGTTACACTGAGGTAGAGTTCTCTGCCTGGTGTAAGTCCAGCGGTGTTCAAGTTGATGAGGGTGTTCCGCAGCCTGAGCGCGAACGACTTCAGCTGATCTAGGTCCCGCTCACTGACAATGCGGGGAACGGCTAGCAGCTCTCTCTCATAGCGCACGATATCTCGGACTGGGCCCCCGTACCATGCGTCAAGCTCTTGCAGTGCGGACTTGTAAGCGCCTGGGCCGTGGACGATGTCGGCAATGAGATCTTCCGCTTCGCCGCCTGCCAAGGCTTCCCGCAGACGGGCAAACTTGTGGTCGTCCGACATGTACGTGTCCTCTTCCATGAGCTGTTTGAAACGCTGCCTCCATCGGCCGAAGTCCTTGTCCTTCCCACTGAACTTTGGCAGTTCCAGTGGCTTTAGGTGGTGGCGAGACCAAGGGCTTCTGATTGCTGGTGCCTCCACATACGGAATCGCGTACGACTGTGCTGAATGCACCTCCGGGCCGGGGTGTGTAGACTGGCCTTCAGCAGGTGGTGCACCAAGATACTCTGGTAGAGGTGGTGCTAGATGAACCTTGCTCCGCGTTCCCATTGGCTGGAATGCTGGAGCACTAGCCAACAGTGTCTGACCTGCCGCAGGCACCCTGGGCTTCGAAGCTGTAGGCTGCTTGGGCTGCTGAACAGCAGCAGGAACTGCAGCAAGACTTGACTGGACTGTGATAGGTCCAGCAGTTAAGACTGGTTGCTTTGGCTGAGTGGGCACTGCCACTGGAGCTTTCCATAGAGCACTGCTCACAGGACCTGTGACAACAGGCTGAGGTCTCATACTGGATGCTGCATTTGCTATGCTTGGATGCACACCACTTGCTACAGTGCGGATAGGTGTCAGTCTTGGGGGAAGTCTGTTCGCACCTCCACTGGCAGGATGAATGGGTGAGCTGGCAACTGTGCCCACTCCTGTGCCTGCGAGCTGGACTGCAGCTGAAACTGCTGAACTGCCGTCATGGCTCAGCTCACCTGCGCTACTCTGCTCATCATACTCATACATATTATATATGAGTCATAGTCGTCAGAGTCGTCAGAGTTCTGGTCCAAGGCTACGACTTCCACTGGACTCGATTGAAGCGGTCGGATCGGTCGCATTGGATTCAAGGGCTTCCTTCCCAGACTCCTGTAGCTGCGCTGCTCAATGTCCAACTCGTCCATGCACTCGCTTAGGGTTGCAAACTTCCGAACAGGCGGATTGCGCTTCTCCAAGGCAGCAAGAGCCTCCACCGTCAGCACCTTTCGCTTTGGGTGTTCTGCTGCAACATTGGTCGCTCCCGTCACACTGTTCGCTTTGGAACCCACTACACTACTGCCACGGCTCCTGGGCTGAGACGATGCCGTGATCTCCACCAACACGGCTTCAGCCTTCTCCACAGCCAGACGCTTATCCACAAGCTCTCTCTGCCGGGCAAGTTCCTTCGCCTCTGCGTCTCGCTCCAACTGAGCCACATCCTCCGCTGCCTGAAGCTCAGCCTTCAGCTTGTCCACTTCAGCTTGTGCCTGAGCACTCCCAGCGGACCGGCGACTGGTCGCGGTGATCTCCGAAACACTACTGGCTGTTTCCACCCACAAACCATACTTCTCCGCCGGCTTCCCTTGTTTGGCACGCTTCGGCCTATCCATGATCCGGCTCGAAGGACCACTAAAATGTTACCTTCAAAACACTAAGGCAACTGCTAATTCGTTTATTATGTATTATCATGGAAAAGGACCAAAACATGCCAAGCTGAACCAAAACTAATCTCTCACAGGAGACTCCAACAAACAACTAAAAAAGGGCAAAACACAATGAAGGAAGAACAACGAGAAGCGTAACACGCATGCGTACTAGTACTTCATGCATAGTACAATCATGAAACATCACGCGATGACTGCGTTCCCACGCCGGGGTAGCTGACCATGCAATCAATCATAGTAGACAGAGAACATGCACAAAGAACTACAACAATACATCAGACAATCATGTATAGCGAGTGCACTGATGCGCATATAAATCTAACAACACACGAGTCACAGAAAAAACATGCGTCTTGATTGTCGTAACTTAAAGTTTCATGCCATAATCTTCAGACAACTGATTACACTCTATCAATCCGGAGGACTCCGCTATTTGTAGCCTGCTCTCACTTTTCAAGTGAGTGAGCACTCTCTCCCCTAGGTTCGAGACGATGGATGCACCTACGCGCATCAACTTGGGATACTCGCTCAAGAACATCCCGATGCCAACGGCCAAGGAATACCGGAAACGAATAATTGAGAAGGTGGAAAGCGTTATAAAGAGGATGCGGTGGAAGGCAATCTTTGCAAAAGGCGATGTAAAGGCGCCGGAACGCAACACCTTTGGCTTCAAGACCAAGAACTGCCCTCCGCAGGTGGAAGAATTAAAGGCGCTTGAGGAGGATTTGTACAAAATGATCGAAAACGTTAGCTTAAGAGCGACAACAAATGACCTCCAAGCAAAGATGAAGAAAGACCTGCAGTGTATCAGCAACTCGCCAGACGTGATATTAGAGACCTTTCGCTAACGATTTTCGTACACCATTTTCGTAGTGCGGGAACGAGGTTACGAAGATCTTACGGAAGTTCGTCTGATCTGGACGGAAAAAGCCACTTTCAACGAATATTGCTTTCGTTCTTGTTTGGCGGGATTTGTTTCAGATTTTTCAGACGTTTCCCTCTACTCTTTCTCTTATCCCTAACCGTAAACGTGTCAGTGTACTATGGCTTCAAATTTACCTGCACCTGTTCCTCCGACACCTATTACACCGGATAGGCAACGGATAGTTTGGGACTCAGGCATGGACTTGGTCCTGCTCAGACAGATTCGTGGATCAGGAAATCCTTTTGTCCGTGGTTCGTCGGTAATGGATGATGTCGTGGATGAACTATCCTCACAAGACCGGCGATTCGGCAATTTAAAAAAGAAAGGCGCTTCAGATAGGCTGCACCTGCTGATGTCGAAGCAGAAATCCAAAGATAGCAAAAGCAAATCGGCCTCTGGTATTGTAGAGGACTTCTCCGAAGCAGACGTGCTTCTAACCGAGCTACAGGAGCTGAAGGCCGAGAAGGAGCAAGCCGCAGTGGCAGTGGTGACAGCCAAGCATGCGGAAAAGGCTGTGGCCGAGCAGATGCGAGCCGATGCTTGCAGGACCCTTTCGGAGAAATCTTCAGCGGAAGACCGGCCCCAGAAAACCAAGCGGAGCAGCACGTACGATCAAGCGGATCCTATTATTACGTACCTCGAGAAGAAAAATGATGCTCTTCTCAAGATTGAGGAGAGAAAAGTGTATTTGGAGGAGGAGAAGTTTGCTGCTTCTCATGGTGCAAATGCAGTCGCACTGGAGGAGCGAAGACTCGCGCTGCAGGTATGACCCATTTTTACTTTCATGCTGTATAGAATAAATTTCAAGAGAAAATGCTTCAAATTGTTCATGTGTTCAATTGTTTTTTTGTTTATTGAATTTTCTGATTTCTGTTGGTGATTCTGTTCATGTTACCCAGGAGAGGGAGATGGCCCTGAAGGAAGAGGCTCAACGGGACGAGCTTGCGTCAAAAAAGAAAAAAGGAACAAGAAGAGAGCAAGAAAGCAGAAGATGACCGTCAAGATCGCAAGCAAAAGGCAGAACAGGACCGCGAGGAACGCAGTATGTTTCTGCAGCTAATGGCAGCCACTGTCAAAAAATGCAATAGCTTTTTCACTTCTTCACGAAGGAACAGCCCTTGCTTTGTAGCTTATCCACTAGTCCCGCTTTCACCCAGCACTTCACAGTTGTATACCTGTAACCATTCCAATGTTAACGTCATTCTAACCAGTGTTATCAATGCCTTTTGACCAATTTCACCATGGAATTTCATTGAACAGATATAACAGAGTCTTCACCATTCCATAATTGAATGAATGACTAAACGTAGTCTGTTTTTAAAACTGCTAAGTAGAGGGAATATCCACAGCCAAGATGTTTACAGTTCTTTCATGGTCTAAGTGTTTGTTGTAAAATGGAGAGATGGCACAGCAACAGAATGATGTAGTGCTGACATCATTGTAGATACAGTCAGACCTCGCTTAACCGCACACATCTGTTTTCCACAAAATATCCGGATAGGCGAGGGAACCGGATAACTGAACACACATACTGTATATGCATGTGGCATATCAAAAGCAATGACATCGTACATACATGTAGACGGGTCCTATGCAGTACAACTAGCGTGCACAGTATCTAAAACAAGCGAGAAAAATGACAAGTGCATGCAACTGAGTGCTGTTCACATGCACCCAGCAGGTCAAGGACCTCATTTGCCTGTACAACTCCCTGATTCTAGCTTCTGCAAGGCACATGCAACCGGATACGACGAAGCTTTTTGTACACATTTCAACCAGTTTGTACACAAAATCATGCACCGGTATGCGGATCGCGAGGTCCGGTTATGTTGTATGCATAACATATGCTGCACATCGGTAACCAGCGATTTTCTTCCGGATGGCGAGGGATCCGGATAAACGAGGACCGGATAAGCGAGGTCTGACTGTACTCTGCTAAGGTAGGTGGAGATAAGTTGAAATACTTTGATGTCTTGTTGCCTTCTCGGCAGATGGTACGGCAATTTGTGAGGAGTGCAGACACCTTGTAGTAGGCAGCAACGGGCTGAAGCATGATCTTCTGCTGCTTCTTGAAATCATTGAACGCCCACTGTGCAACGACATCACCAAAGCTCCATTCCACCACCATACGTGCAGAATTCATAGCTGTATTGAATTCCTGTTGCTCAGCTGTTAACGCAGCTCCTTGATAGCCCTTCATAAGAAACGGCGACAGTGGGTATGCGGGATCTCCATACAGTGCACATGGCTGACCATTTGGTTTCCTGGCAAACTGTTGCAGCCTAGGCAGCAAACCACTTTCCAAGAGAACACCTGAGTCGTGCCGTCTGCCTTCAACGGGACCAAATAAATGGCAAATCAAGCCATCTGGTGTGACACAGGACTGGTATTTGAGGGCATGAACCCGTTTATGTCCATTGTAGAACATGCGCTGGTGAATAGACGGCTTGCAAACACTCCTAACTGTGCCATCAATGAAGCCCCATACATCCAGTGGCACACTTGTCTTTCGTCGGACTGCCTGGCAATACTTGGCAAATCTGGCAGGTGTCAGGAACTGGTGGGTAAACGGATCAGTCAACAAACCATCCCAATTCCTGAAAATCCATTGCAGGGTGATATTGAACACGATGCTCAGTGATGGTTTGGACCTCCCAAATTCTTCGCACATATCACCAAGAGTGTTAGGATACGAAAGACGCCTCAAAACCACCAGCAGCCCTTCCAATCCTGTCCAACAGTGTCGTGACGGAGCACGAAACCTCGCTGGGAGGCTGAGCCGTTCAAGCAACTCCATAACCTGTGCTTTCGTGAAGCGATATCTGCGAGAACATGTCTCCTCATCAATTTTTTCAAAGTTTAATCGATTACCCACATGCTGAGGGAGATTCGCACAGGTATCTTCAGTTATGCAATGGATGAGAAGTAGGAGCTCCTCTTCATCCAACATTCCATTCTCGTGCTCAAGAAGGAACAGAGATAAAAGCATTTTGAATTTTTGATGATTGAGTCAGATCCTGGCTATAGCATACAATTACAGACCGGTCGTAGCTTGAGTGATCATGGAGTGGAGATAGGAGGAAATCAAAAAACCAGCGTGGGGAATAGAAGGGTGCAAAGTTCAGGTCATGAACTGCGCACCGCCGGTGAGAAATATGTTGCTACGACAACAACGCAACGAAATGTGGACATGCGAGCGAAACGAAAAATTTACGAAACTTCGGTACGTAATCCAGACCAAAGGAAAATTAACGAAAATCGTTAGCGAAAGGTCCGTAATACCCGCCAACAAGATGCGCAACCTGTATAGTACGACGGTCGATAACTACAAAAAACTGTTACACGACAACATCACCATGACGTATCAGCATGCACCGGAGGGTGCGTACAGTCAAATCAACCTGGAGGCAAGGGAAATCGCGGAACGGCTTGACATAGCGGACAGAACGGAGGTGCTCGCCAAGTCCGAATGTTTCATAACGCTAAAAGACCATAAAGAGAATTTCCACCGTGCCCTACCGTGCCGCCTAATAAATCCAGCAAAAAGTGAGCTAGGCGTCGTCAGCAAGAGCACCCTAGCCAACATCACAAGGCAGCTCTGTGACGCTACAGGGGCGATGCCTTGGAGAAGCACGGCCGATGTAATTAATTGGTTCAAGAGCATAGAGGAGAAAAAGCGCCATACGTTTGTAGTATTTGACATTGTCAATTTCTACCCGTCGATCACGAAGGAGCTCTTGCAGGACGCCCTGGAATTCGCTAAGCAGCATGTGCAGGTCAGCAACGACGACATGAATGTGATTATGCATGCCCGCAAGTCACTGCTATTTGCCCAGGGTCAGGCATGGTCTAAGAAAGACCGAGGTGATATGTTCGACGTTACCATGGGTGCATATGACGGTGCGGAGGCTTGTGAAGTTGTTGGAGCCTACATCCTCCACAAGTTAGCTGTGCACCTGGACTGGACGTTGGTGGGGCTCTACCGTGACGATGGACTTGCAGTGCTGAAGGATGCAAGTGGACCCGTAGCGGACAGAGTGAGAAAACAAATAATCGAAGTATTCAAGTCGTGCGGCCTGAAGATAACGATAGAAAGCAACCTGCGCACGGTCAACTACCTGGATATAACCATGTGCCTGGAATCCGGTACGTTCAAGCCATACCGTAAGCCAAACGACACTCCGCTTTACGTAAGCGCAAAGTCCAACCACCCACCGAAGGTGTTGAAGAGCTTACCCGTTGGCATCAACAAGCGTCTGGCGATGATTTCCAGCTCAAAGGAAGTCTTTGAGGAAGCCGTGCCTGAGTA